CAACGACAACATCAACGTCACCAGCGATGAACCCCAGACCAACCAAACGTTCCCCGCTTCCTCCGCCGTCGCCAACAGCAGTATGTGTGTGTGTCCCGCCCCCCTTGTCCATGTTCCCTGTCTCTGTGTAGTGCGTGTCTTGCCAGTAGCAGCAGCAGTGTGTGCAGCACGGCGGCAGTGCGTCGTGGTTTCTTCTTGCGTGCGTGTAGCGTGTAGTTTGTTGCCCAGAGAAAAACAAAAATGACGACGCCTCCCGGGGATGCGTCCATGTGACATATATATTTGCACAAACGGTGTGCTATCTCGAGACACCGACCACGGATTGCAAAGGTAGCGGTTGGGACAGCTCGGGCAAAATGTTACTTGTTGTGCGCAAGTTTTAGTTTGCAATTTGGTGCCGAGATGGTGAAATGGGCTCGAGTCTGCTGGGTATTTAGGGCGCGCAGACACCAGACACCAGACACCAGACAGCAATGGCTAAATTTTCACGCCCCTGTGCATGAAAATTATTCTTTTTCTCGTGCGCACATACTCCACCCACGATCCCTNAACACTCGTTGTACGACGATCAGGCCGAGTGATGATGTTGTACCAAGTAGGTTAACTCGTTACATCTAGCATTACTCCGTCTGAAGACTCTTGTGTTTTTTACCACGCGTTGTACGATGGTCAGGCCGAGTTGATGACGTTGTACAAATGCACCAGGTAGTTTAACTCCGATACATGCGTCTCCATGAGCCACTCATATCTCTGGCCGCCAAAAGCGCATCTTTAGCACGGATGGACTTGTGGCGCATACAGGGGGAGGGTGACGTGGAGGACACCTGCCGGGAGTATAACCAACCATGTGTACACACACTCTCCTCCTCGGCCTGCTCCCCGGCCGGGGCCGAAATCGACCTCGTGAGTCCCTCGCGGGCGAACCAGGACACAACAGATAGTAGGCGGGTGGTGTCCCAAGGTGCAACTCACCGCCGCGCTGGCTCAGCGTGGCGGTGAGGATGCACAGACGGTGGTAGTGGCGAGAGGTGT